TTGCTCTTCTGTTCAGTTTTTCCTTCATAAATACCATATTGTCTTGATTATTTTGACTTTAGAATAAGACAGTGTCAGTTCTCTCACTGTTCTTTATTATTGTTATCACTATTCTGGAGTTTTATCTCTTCATTTAAACTTTAGAATCATTTTTTTGATGTCCTCTAACTTGATAGGGTTTTGTTTGGGATTGAATGCAATGTTTAGATCAAATTTGGAAGAAATTATATCTTAACAATAGTAAGTTTTCCTATCCAGGATTGTGGAATATCTACATTTATTTAGATTTTCTTGGATTTCTTTCATCAGTATTTTGCAGTTTTCCCCATGTAGATTGTTTTGTACATATGACAATTACAATATATTTTAATCAGACTATACTTACAACCTTTGCATTCGTAAAATGCAATGTGATAATTTTTCTATGGAGTTTTTCTATGTTGTAACACCTTTTTGTAATATTTTTACATAAAAATTTTACATTTTGAAAGTTAGGCATATCTATAGTAAATAGATAAGTTAGTATATTCATAGAATAGAATACTGTGCTACAGTGGCCCCCAAGTTTTTGGCACCAGGGATCAGTTTCATGGAAGGCAGTTTTTCCTGGATTGTTGGAGGGTGGTTTCAGGATGATTCAAGCACATTATATTTATTGTGCACTTTATTTTTATTATTACATTGTAAGATATAATGAAATAATTATACAACTCACTATAATGCAGAATCAGTGGGAGCCCTGAGCTTGTTTTCTTGTAATTAGATCATCCATGGGGGCTGATGGGAAACAATGACAATTAAAGTGTATGTTGCTTATGTCCAGTCTACTCTTTAATCTTGTTTTGGCTGTTGTCATTGTAAAGAACCTTGTTTCACAAAAATAGGATGTTGGAAATGGAAGCAGGCTTTCCAGTGCACTTGTGGTCATCTCATGATATTCTGCTTTGCCTTTAACCGAAAACACATGGATATTTGAAGTTGTCTCAAAAATACTGTTAAGCCCACCATTATTTGTGATCAAGCATTTGATTCTCTTCTTGCACAAAGTCAGTTCACCTGGCTTGTTCACAAGTGAGTTACAGATCCATTCTTTTCCAATTTGGGGATCTTTTGTGGTTTGGAAGTAATGCTCAAACTCTTTTGAAAGCTGAGATGGGTGAGCACATACCAGCTAGTTGAAAGAAACTCTGGCTCAGTCTCTTTCAAAATTTCTGCCACTGTTTGAAGCGTGTCAAAAAATTCCAGCATTCGCTCATCACCCCCATAATTCCAGGTTGGCTTTGAATAAAACCTCTTTACTCTTGACTTGAACAGAGTTCCCTAAATATAGTTCTTTTTCTGCCCTGAGATAACACATTAAGTTTAATGAGCAAGTTGAATATGTCACAAGAATAAGCAAGTTTTATGACTCATCCTGTCACTAAAATGTGCTGCTGGTGGTGACTGTTTTTCTAAAAGGAATTTCTGAAGTAGCTCTTGTAACTCAGAAACTCTGATCAGTGGTCAGCCCATAGAAAGTCATCTCTTGCTCTCTGTTTATAAGAGGAGAGCTGTGTGATCTGCATCCATCTCCTTTAGAGCTTTGTGGACAGGTGTGAGTTAGGGACCCATACTTTAAGACAGTTATTACTTCTAATCACACTACAAAATGATATTAAGTTCAGATGACATTTTTCTTTATGGATGACACAGTACAAATTTAGAAGCAACCTCTTTGATTTGAGTAGTGAAACCAGAAAGCTGTCCATTCATGGCAGTCATTCTGTCCGTGTTTGTATTGACAAAAAATGATCAATTCAGTGCTCCTAATATGTAATCAAAGTCTTGTTTCACAGCAACAGTGTTGGTAATTGACATAAAAGTGCATGTCAAATAGTGTCCTCCACATTTCCTGAAAAATTTGTCACACAAAAACAGCATTGTTGCCTTGTTGTCAGTATTGACAGACTCATCCACCTAGATGCGGTACCACAGTGACTCACTAATCTTTTCTAACAGTGTGCCTCAGTATCCGCTGCTGTTCATCACTTTGTCTAGTTACGGCGCTAGAGGAAAAAGAAACTGCAGCTTCTCCCAAAAGTTCACGGCAAACATCTATAGCAGTGGGCAGAATCCACTCTTTATGAGTAGTAAAGGGCATCTTAGCTTTAGCAGTGTGGTTATCCACTAAGAATGATGCTCTCAGTACAGGCACATTTGATGAAGCAGTGACCTTCAATAATTGCTGTGATCTTCATGTTCACATTTTCCTTTTCTTTTGAAAAACTCCAAAGGCTGGCTGGCTGGCTGGCTGGCTTGCTTTCTTTCTTTCTTTCTTTCTTTCTTTCTTTCTTTCTTTCTTTCTTTCTTTCTTTCTTTCTTTCTTTCTTTCTTTCTTTCTTTCTTTCTTTCTTTCTTTCTTTCTTTCTTTCTTTCTTTCTTTCTTTCTTTCTTTCTTTCTTTCTTTCTTTCTTTCTTTCTTTCTTTCTTTCTTTCTTTCTTTCTTTCTTTCTTTCTTTCTTTCTTTCTTTCTTTCTTTCTTTCTTTCTTTCTTTCTTTCTTTCTTTCTTTCTTTCTTCTTTCTTTCTTTCTTTCTTTCTTTCTTTCTTTCTTTCTTTCTTTCTTTCTTTCTTTCTTTCTTTCTTTCTTCTTTCTTTCTTTCTTTCTTTCTTTCTTTCTTTCTTTCTTTCTTTCTTTCTTTCTTTCTTTCTTTCTTTCTTTCTTTCTTTCTTTCTTTCTTTCGACAGCATCTCACTATGTAGTCCAAGTTGGCCTTACACTCACTATCTAGCTCAGGCTGGCCTTGAAGCAGTCCTCCTGATACAAACTCCTGAGTGCTGCGATCACAGATGTGTGCCACCACGCCCAGCCCAAAGGCTTTTCTTTTAATGCAAGGTGCTTGGTCTCCTTGTGGTAAAGCAGATTTGAAGGTTTCATGGCTTAATTGGATGATTGGTCACCTCATATTATACAAAGCAGGCTTTAAGAATATGAATCATTTGTTGCAATGAATGTGTAGTTGAAGTAAGACTCTTGGCACTTTCTTTTAAGTGTAGTTTTGGTTGGCAGCCTTAGAATCTTTTGCTGTCTCATCATTGGGGCTTTCCCTCTTTTTGAAGAAGCTCTCCAGTGTTGTTTGATTTTCCTCATTTAGGTCAGGGTTAGTTTGTGGGCACACCAAAACTGTGACTGGGACAAGTGTGCAGTACAGGAAAGAGGTCCAATAACAAGTGGTAAATAATAGGCAGGCTACATGCTGGCTAAATTACGGGTTAGGTTCTGACTTATAAAAGCCTGCCACAAGATACAGCTGTACAATTGAAGTACATTAACTCACTTTCCACTTATGCCTCCCACCAGATGCAGCTCAGTTGTCACTAGGCACTCACCGAAAGGGTTCCCATAAGAGTCTGCAAGCAACAGACTTAGTATGGGCTCTGTGTAGTCAAACCCTTCTGCTAATATTAATCTGTATTTGTGGCCATCCCTAGCACTAACATCACCCCTCAGCTTCACCTCAGATCTTGAGGCATTCAGTTTTGATAAGGAGCACACAACTAGAGCCATTGCTTGTGCAATTCACAGTAGGATTCATGCTCCTGTGAGAATCTAATACCACTGCTGCTGTGACAGGAGATGGAGCCCAGGCTATAATGTGAGTGATGGGGAGCCGCTTGTAAAGACTGAGAAAGATTTGCTTGCTCACTCACAGCTGCCCTGCTGCTGTGTGACTTGGTTCCTAACAGACCATGGACTGGTTTTCCCAGAGCCTGGCAATCCCTGGAATAAAAGCAGTTACTTTCATCAAAACCATACAGTTGAATCTTATAGATATAATATTGAAAGAAACTAAACACAAAAACTACAAGCTCTGATTTTATTTTTATGGAGTTTAAGAACAGAAAAAGCTAAGTGTAGTCATACAAAATGAAATGCTGGTTACTGCTATGCAAGGGTTGGGAGCAGTTGGAGGTGAAAAGGGGCACAGAGGAGTCGCTGAGATTCTAGGAATCTTTTGTATCCTGATTTGGTATTACCAGGGTGTGTGTGCTTAGTGAGCTGAACATTTAAGATTAGTGCATCCTCCTTTATATATGACACATCAATAAAAATGTACAAATGATATGTTAGGACTGGGGATGTAACTTAGCTGCACAGTGCCTGCCTGGCAAGCACAAGCTCATGAGTTTGATCCCTGGTACCAAAAAAACAAAACTACTGTTATGTTAGAGAAAGAAACTTTGAAAAAACAAGGTACAAAGACGAAAAGACTCATAAACTCAAAGACAGTAATTGTGAACATGTTGATTTATGTGTACTCATGTCATTTCATTTATATATATGTATATATTCATTTATTTTAAATAATTAGGGCAACATATCAATTCTTTTAAACCCCTCAGAGAAACATTTTACTATCTATGTCTTTGCTTGTTCATTGGACAAAATACTTGGCACCCACATCATAAGGAGAGAGCTATTTTGGTTTCCATTTCAGTCTAGTCAGCAAGCTCCCAGGCAGGATGGCTTGGCAGAGAGGTATTGCAGAGGAGAGCTACATGGAGGATAGGCAGCAGAGAGAAGGAGAAAGGAGGACTGGGAGGGAGATTAATTAACCCAGGCCACAACCCCTCCTCTTCCCACCACATCCCGCCTCCTTCCACACCTCAACTATAAACGCCCGTAATCCAGTCACTTTCCAAAAGCCCAGCTTGTGAGCACGTGAATATTGGAAAAGGCATCTTGACATAAACCGTAACCACCTGTTTGGTTCATTATTCTCTGAGGGGCACTCCATAGGGCCCTAATTGCCTGAAGAAGTAATGAACCTTCTAAATAGCTAATTTATGATTAAAGTATCTTCTGTTCTGAAGAAAATTTAGCTAGTATGGGAATCCAAAATATATCATGAGCACTGTGTATTGACAAATTATACTTAGAGTTCAGTGCATGTTTGAGGAAGTTTTTCCTTAATCCCATATCCCCTCACCTGTCACGTTTAATGTGGTAATTTCTTACAGGGACATTTTTCTTCAGTTCTTCAAAAAGAAGAAAAAGTCTCACCAATTTATGGTAAAGAGGAGACAGTAGAAGTGCCCATTATTAGTGCTTCAACTCAAATAATGCTCAAAGGACTTTTTATGGTACTTGACTATCTTTTTAGGCAAAATAGCAGGTAAGTGAAGATACCTGTGGTTTTTTTTTTTTTCTTAAAAATACCTCATTTGGATGCTAGCATGTTTAATGCACACTAATTTTAAGCTGGGCGTGGTGGCATACTCCTGTAATCCCAGCACTTTATGTGTACCCATGTCATTTCATATATTTATATATATGAGGCTGAAGGAGGCCAATCGTTACAAGTTTGGGACCAGCCTGGACCACAAAGGGAGCCAAAGGCCAGCCTGAACCACCTAGTGAGACCCTGTCTGAACAAAACAAAACAAAACCCACTAATTCTGGGTGAGTAGGAGTATTATCGATATTACAATGTATTTGCTTTTACTTATCGGGAGACTTAGCTCAATTGCAGTTAGTCTTTTTTATACTGAAAATGGGTATTGAAATGAATAAATACGGTTAATTCATTAAATTTTTGGTCTTTCAGTACTAAACACTTAGTATTTTAGCTATTACATGAATGGATATATACCAGTATCAGAAGTCACTATTCTCTGTCAAGTTAAAGTTCTACCTATTTCTGGGAATTAAAAAATTTTTTTCTTCATTGCAACAAAATATACATAAAATTTGCCATTTTAACCTTTTTTAAGTATATCCAGCAGTTCGGCACCATAAGGTATATTGACAATGTACAATCATCAGCATTATTCATTTCTAGACATTTTTCATCATTCCAGACAGGAATTCTGTACCCACTTTCTTTCTCTACACTCCCTGAATTTATCAGTAACCACCATGCTACAAGAATGAACCACACATGATTCATTCTTAAAAATTTGCACTTTCTAAGTATGTTATGTAAGAGTAGTCCTATGATATTTGTCTTTTTGTATTTCCATTAGCAATGCATGAGGGGCTGATTTCTCCATATCTTTACTGAGGCTTATTGTTTTGTGATTTTTTTATAATTACTCCTAATGAGTGTCAAGTGATATATAGTCATTATATGTTTTTGATTTTTATCTTCCTTCCTGATGACTACAGATATTAAGAATCTTTTTATGTGCTTGTTGGCCAATTATATATCTTTTTGGAAGAACTGTCTTTTAGTAGTTTTACATATGATCTGATTACAAATTCTGTATAAGATACATGCTTTACAGATATTTGCTTGTATTCTGTGGGTTACTTTTTTTACTTTTTGATGATATTCTTTAATACAAAAAAATTTTTAGTATTGAAATCTAATTTATATTTCTTATGTTGCATGTACTCTTAGTTCATATGCTTATGTCATGATGAGTTGTTTTTTCCTTCTAGAATTTTATTGTTTTTTACTGATGAAAATTTTTTTATAAAATTCTCTTCATAGTTTTTGAAGCCCTGACTTGTACTTTGAGATCTGATCTCCCTCAATATGAAGTTAACAGTAAAGTATTATGGGAACATAGCTGAAAATATCACATTTTGTTTTGCTTAAGCTTATACATTTTATAGACTTACTGAAAGAAGTTATAAATTGAAACAGACTGTATATTTTCTGTTTTGTTTTGAGTAGGTGTCTCACTCTGAGTTCAGGCTGAGTTGAACTCACTGTATAGCCCAGGTTGACCTTGAACTCATCATGGTGATCCTTTTGCCTCAGCCTCCTGAATTACAGGCGTGCAACAACCCCACAGGTTTATCTTCTGGTTCAATATTTTCACTGAAAGAAGATAAAGGCTGAGACCTAGATTTTAAAGGGATTTCATTAAAAGTCATAATTAGTTGCTAATGCTTTTTAAACTTTGAGCAGAAATTATCTATTTTCTTATATGATTAAAAGTGCAATTTACCTTTTACTTTCTTTCACTATAATATTGTTTACTAATTTGTAACTAATTATGTAGTGTGGCGTAAAGAGCTGTGATCTGGAAATTAGTTGACTTAATTTTAATCTGGTTCTACTGTGATTTATGTAATATTTGAGAATGGGAGTGGGAAGTGGCTGATGAAGATTAGATGGCTTGATAATTTCTAGTGTTTCCTGTAGAAAATGGTTTGTTCTGTGATTTGATGGCTTGATTTTATATCAAAATTACTGAATTTAATTAGTGATGGGAAGAATGTTAACCCTTAGTGGGAAGGTGCCCAGCATTCTTTGAGTTTTAACGTGATCAGTTTTTATATTGTATGTACTTGGGTCATTACATGTTTTATATAATGTTTTGCCATTTAATTAGCATTTTCTTTGCATTTAGATTTGCAGACGATTATAAAATTGCTATTCAACAGACTTATTCATGGACACATCACACTGATATGTCAGATAAAAGTGAGTTCTTTGTTCTACCAAAAAATAAACGTTCACGACAGAAAATTGCAGTTCATGTGCTAAACTTTTGGTGCTTAAATCCAGCTGTGGTAAGCTTATCATGTTGTCTTCTTGATCAATACCAACAGTTAAATGAAAGTGTTGACTCTTTATAAGATGATTTTATATATCTAATGTTTCCTTTTAGGCATTTTCAGATATTAATGGCAGAGTTCGGACAATTGTTTTGACATCTGGTACATTATCACCAATGAATTCCTTTTCTTCAGAGCTTGGTGTTACATTTACTATTCAACTAGAAGCTAATCATGTCATTAATAATTCACAGGTTAGTTTTTATTTTTTTAAGGCTCCCAGGCTTTTTAACCTCCATTTATTAATTCCACATAAACACATTAGAAGGTACCTGAAATACCAACAAACCAACCTTCATTTAAGTATGTTTTAATTTTTCTATGCAATTAAAAAATAAGAAAAATTTGAGTTCTTTACCATAGTTTTTTTTTGTGTGTGTGCCTTTTTGAGACAGGATCTCACTATGCATTCAAAATGGCATGCGCCTCTACGCCCAGTTTTTACCATAGTTTTTATTGTATAATTGTGTTCCTTTTTTTCTTTTCTTTTTTTTTAATCATCGGTACCAGGGATCAAACTCATGACCACACACTTGCAAGGCAGGCGCTTATGCCGCTAAGCTAAATCCTCAGCCCCGTGTTCCTTTTTTCTACTAGACTATGATGTATCCTTACTCTTCTTTTATATCTCCATCTTTCCTCGATATTAGATTAATTTTGAGCTTTTAGTAAATGTTCAGCACATGTTTGAATATCTAAAGTAAACTAGTATTTTTATGACTCCTATAACTTTAGTTTTAAACTTTTTTTATATTATCTGTAAATGTTAATTTTCTTAGAAATGTTTGAATTGCCATTTTTCTTCTTTTTTGGGGGAGAGTCTTTTGAGACAGGGTTTCACTGTGCAGTTCAGGTTGACCTTAAACGCAACAATTTTCCTGCCTCACCTCCTGAGCGCTAGGATGATAGGCATGCACCACCATTCCTGGCTTGAATTGCCATTTTTCATTATACCTTCTGTTTCTTTTTAATGAAGTAATTTAAAGTGGTTAGCTGTGTGCTTAATATCACTTGTGTGTAGAACTCAATTCTAGTTCTCCAACAATTAAAAAAGAAATTTCCGTGAAATTTGTTGCTGGGCTTACTTTTATGTAAATTTAAGTATTCGTATTAATTTTTCTGTCTTGTTGAGGCATAACTCTAATACTAACATATTCATATTATAGGTTTGGGTTGGTACCATTGGTTCAGGCCCTAAGGGTCGGAATCTGTGTGCTACCTTTCAGCATATTGAAACATTTGAGTTCCAGGATGAAGTGGGAGCACTTCTATTATCTGTGTGCCAGACTGTGGGCCAAGGAATTTTGTGTTTTTTACCATCTTACAAGGTAAGAGAATATTCGTGGGTTTTTTGCTTTTAAATTATTACAAAGAAGAACCCTTCTCCACTGTTGGTGAGAGAGTAGGGAACCACTATGGAAATCAGTATGGAGATTCCTCAAGAAACTGAAACTATAAGTTCCACTTAACCCAGCTTTTTCCTTTCATGGTATCCTCCTGAAAGAATTAAAAGCATCATACCATAGCAATATACACACACTCATGTTTATGGTGGCACAGTTTGTAATAGCTGAATGTTGGAAAGAGCTCAAATGCCTGTTAACCAATGAATGGATAAAGATGTGGATTTTTATACAACGGAATACTACTGTGCCATAAAGAAGGATAAATTTTAGACCTTTCTAGTTAAATGGATACATCTTAAGACTAAACTCTTCAGTGAAATAAATCAGACATGCCTTTAAATATTGTATGGTTTCTCTGGTATGAGAAACCAGAAGTGTCAGTAAAGATCAGAATGTGTAATAGATATTGGGAAATGGGAAGAAAATGTTCAAATGAGAAGGGGAACAAAGGCAGGGTGGGAGGCATAAAGAAGAAAAAGAAAAAAAATGAAAACAGGTTTGTAAATAATAAGGATAAAGGGGCTGTAGAGAGAGGAGAGAAAAGGGGAAAAAAGAAGCAAGATTTACCATGTACAGGTACTAATTACCTGTGATGAATGTTATCATTATGTATATCTAAAATGTACCAATAGAGCTTGGCATGGTGAGATATGCCTATAATCCTAGCACAGCCTCACAGAGGCTGAGGCAGAAGGATCGTTGCAAGTTTGAGACCTGCCTGGGCGACAAAGCAAGCCCAAGACCAGTTTGACTGCATAGTGAGACCCTGTCTCAAAAAGCCAAAAAAATAAAAAATAAAAAAAGACCAATTAAAAATGATCACATAGAATTGACTGATAAACTTTGTAGAATGAGAAACAACAAGGTAATAGCAAACATCATATATTATTTTACTTACATATTCAGGAAGATACTGCCTTTTTTTTTTTTTTTTACTGAGGATCAAACTTACAACCTTGTACTTGCCAGGCAGGTGCTTGTGCCACTGAGCTAAATCCCCATCCCAAGATACTGCCTTCTTGTTCTTTCTCTGTTTTACTTAAAATTCCAAAAGGATATGTGAGAGGACTGCTTTTGTATATGATTTTTATTCTTAGAGGCAACTTGGTATTTTTATAGTTGAAGGAAAGAGAAATCATCTTTTTCATTCTCATAAATCATACTTTTGAATGTTTTCAGTAAAGGGAATCTAGCTAATCCCAAGGTTCTCTGTTGACTGTTATTTTATTCATGTGTCTGGCCAGAAGAGAAAGATTTTTATCTTGTTTTTGGAGTCATTCAGATTTTTAATAATTTTGTTTTAGTGATGGTTCAACATATGCAAATCAATAAATGTAATCCACCATATCAGTAGAGCCAAAAATAACCACATGGTCATGTCTTTTTTTTTTTTTGTCTTTTTCATTTTTATCGGTACCGGGGATCGAACTCACGACTGCCTGCTTGCAAGGCAGGTGCTTATGCCACTGAGCTAAAACCCCAGCCCCCTACATGGTCATTTCTATAGTTGCAGAAAAAGCTTTTGATAAGATCCAACACTTATTCATATAAAAACTTTACAGAAAATTGGAATAGAGGTCTTTACCTCAATATGATAAAAACCATCTATGACAACCCAACAGCCAGCAACATGTTAAATGGCCAAAAACTGAAGGCCTTTACCCTAAAATCAGGACCAAGACAAGGATGTCCATTATTACTACTCCTAGTATTTCCTACTGGAAATACTAGCCAGAGCAGTTAGACAAGAGAGAAATAAAAGGAGTAAGGATAGGAAAAGAAGAAGTTAAATTATCATTATTTGCCTGGAAGAACATGGCGGATAAATAACAGCAGCTGTGGAGGCTCTCTGAGATACCCCGCTTAAAATCCAGGAATGGTGCGGTACGGTGAGTCCTAAGAAAGGGGAGATACAACCTGCTGACCCAGGAATGAACTAAGCTAAGAGAAACCAACTGGAAATCCAATCCTGGTGCTATAACAAGAACAGATAAAATCTCAGCGCGGAAGCTAGAACCCACGCCACTGGAAGCCTCAATTAGAACTTCCTGCTGCTACTGCTGCTTACAAATCTGCAGGGCAGGGAGAGAGATGTGTGAAAGCTCTGAGAGCAGGAATCTGCGAACGGAGTTGAGAGCAGGACTAGCAGGAAGCCCTACATCGACTTGCAGTGAGTGAGTGGATGGGGACCCTTTCATAGAGTAGGAGGCTCCAGCAAAGGACATACTGGGACCGGGCAGACTTGCTGGAACAGCGTGCTGCAGTGACATTAGTCGCATATTCCCCTCTCAAGCAGGATTGGTGGGCAGTGCCTGCCCTGCCTGACGCCGCTGACTAAGACCTAGTAAGCTAGTCCAAACCAGGTCCCAGTGCACCCTAGCGGTGAAGCCTTCGGTAGGTTGACCTAGAGGGGCGGACCCAGCAGAGGTTGCCCAGGTCTGTGTCTCCCTAGTACACTGCAGTGGGTGGGAACACCTAGCCGGCACAATTCAAACAAACTGCAACGGAAAAAGAGAAAAAAATTGGGCCTCCTACATTCGCTTGTATGGAAAGAACAAAAAGTATGGGAAGAGGAAGTGTCGATGTCGCTCCCGGCCGGCAGGAAGGACACACGACAAAGCCTGGCAGTGGACAACCTTTTCTTTTATTTTCCTTCTCCGTACAGCCTGCCCTGGGATCGCTCCCAGCCGAAGCCTCCTTTGGTCCGCTCCCCGCGGCTCCTTCTGGGCTTCTACTTCCGGGCTTCTTCTTCCCCCCCAGGGGTGGCACCAGTATATATACGGACACAGTGTCCAATCATGTTAAAGTAAGCAAGGCAAGCTGATTGGCTAACATCATCAGTTGCCAGGCAGACTATATTGTTGAGCGGGTTGCTTACGCGGTAAGCAGGAAACTAACGTGCTCGATGGGAGGGGTAATCTACCTCAGGCTTTACTCTTTACTACAGGCCTCACGTCCGCCAAGTGAGGCGACCGGGCTCGGGGCTGCGGCTCCCAACATCTCCCCCTTTTTTATTTTTTATGAATGTGCGCATCGTAGCCCTTTCTGGACTGGGTGCAGAGGCTTATGCCCTATGCGTAGGCCCACCGTAGGTCCTTGGCTTAGACCCTGGTCGGCCGTCCCATGGTCTGCCAAGGCCCTGAGGCCCTCGTCCTTTTTCTAGGGCCAGGCACAAACTGGACGGAACCTGGATGCACACAAGCTTGCACTCATTTCCTCTCCGTAAAGAAATCCCCTCGGAGAGAAATTTAGACCTGGGCAGCATCTAACAGTCCAGCGGCTTACGTGCAGGATGGGGTAGGGCCTGGCTTAGGTTGAGTCGCACCGGGGGAGTACGCTCTTACCCGTCATTGACTCTCCTACCCAGCTATGTCATAATTTTTTAGAGGAGGAGTGTGGGAAGCTCACCACCCCTAGACTCGGTCGTAGGCTAGGCGAGCGAGCCATGCATATGCCTGAGGATCTTCTTGTCCATTTCGGGCTACCGCTATTTCTATTCATCTTGTTGGTCGGTCTGTGATGGATCTCCGGTAGGGCAGGTCTGATCTTCAGTCGAGGGCTTTGTCGCCCGTGTCAGTCTCTCCGGTACCCACAGTGGTTCTCGTCCCGATTCCTGTGGGAAAACACAAACCGCGCCTCGGTTCCAGCTGACCACTGGATCCGGGCCCATCCATTGTCCTGTCAGGACATCTTTCCACTTCACCCACCCTTTATGGTTGGGGGAAGGGTTGCAGTGCTCCACGGCTGGGGAGCAATTATCATTATTTAAATTTAAAAAATTGTGTGTGAATAGTGCCATGGATAATCGCGCCTTTGGGGCCAGGCCTTGGCCTACTCCCCCTTTTTGTTTTTGTAAAATTTCTTTGAGGCTTCTATGAGCCCTCTCAATGATTCCTTGACCTTGGGGATTGTATGGGATACCATGTTTTAATTGAACCTCCATCATTTTGCAGAACTCATTGAAGGCTTTGCCTATATAGGCTGGTCCATTATCAGTTTTTAATATTTTTGGTTTGCCCCATGCGGCCCAAGCCGCCAGGCAATGATTGATCACATTAGACACTTTTTCACCTGTTTCTGCTGTTGCGAATATGACGTGAGAACAGGTGTCTGTGGAAACATGAACATATTTAAGAGTCCCAAACTCCTGTATATGTGTGATGTCCATCTGCCAAACATCACCAGGGATCAAACCTCGAGGGTTTACTCCCATCGGTATGGCAGGTTTGTATGTGGCACAGGAGCCACATAGTCGCACGATATCTCGTGCATCTGCTCTGGAAACATGGAAATGGTTTGCTAGTGTCCTGGCATTGACATGAAACTTATCATGTAAGGCACGGGCTCGCTCGATTGGTGTTAGTAAGGTAAAAATCCATAACGGGCGAGTGGCAGTATCAACAGCCGCATTCCCCTGTGCCATGGGCCCCGGCAGGGATGTATGTGCTCTTATGTGGGTGGTGAAGACCTTATGGTGTCTGTTCTGAAGCAATGTCTGGATAGACAGGAACAGCCCAGCCACTGTGGAAGTGGATCTAATTAAACCGGCAGTCTCAAGCACTTGCATAGCATTGACCACATACCTAGAATCGGAGACAATATTAATGGCTTCTGAGAACCGTTCAAGAATCATTTTAACGATCTGCAGTTCCACCACCTGAGGCTGATCAGGTTCAAATTGTATGGTAACCGGGGGCTTGCCTAGGATCACATAGGCGCCTATCCCCGTCTTGGAGCCATCTGTGTATATTGTAGTTGCTGGGACTAATGGCTCAGAGGCAGTAACCTTTGGAAAAATTATAGGGTGCTGAGTGACAAATGACAAGATAGGGTCTTTAGGGTATTGATTGTTTATATCCCCATGGAAAACACATCTCAGAATGGCCCATGTATCTATGCAGGGAGCCAGGGTCTTGATCTGG